CACACACACAGGCACACACCATGTACATGTCCTACCTGGCACACACACACACAGGCACACACCATGTACATGTCCTACCTGGCACCCACACACACAAGCACACACCATGTACACGCACAGTGTGGGGCACAAGATCCACCAAGACACCCATGTACGCAGATAAGGGTGCCCAAGTCCATAGTGACTCCCGGACAGAGGCACAGATGCCCTCAGTGCCCTCTGCCCGAAGACCTGGGCACACCCAGAGGCCCCTGTATGGAGTGCCTTCCTGATACACAGGCGCACACGTGCCTCAGCCGCCCACTGAGGAGTCTGCCTGGGTAAGTGAGTGCTGAGGAGACCCTGGGACAGCCGACTGCAGGCGCTACTGCAGCTCAGGGGAAGGTGGGGCCTGCCTTCCAGGCTCCACGTCAGCGAGGGGGATCCGCCTCCCTCCCTCACCAGCATCAGCACAGGCACCAGGCTGGGAACCTCACCGCCGGGGCTGAGGCAGCCAGCAGGGCAGGTCCTGAAAGTGCTGAAACCTCAGCGGGAGGTCTGTGGGCGAGGACCACACCTCCCGCTCCATCCCCGCGACTGCCTGTACTGGCCAAAACCAGGAGCACACCAAGGCTGCCAACTTCTGGACTTGAAGCACTGCACAGGTCAGTGGAGAGAAGAGTAGCTGCACCAGCAGGGTCTGCAGCATCTCTCGGGAGGGTGTGGGGAGGGTGCAGACTCCAAGACCCCTGAGGGAAGGACCTTCAGATTCAAGGGAGCCAGAGACGAGCTTGGGAGGTGTGTTTTCAAAGGGACCTCTTGAGTCTACTTAGCCTGTGCATTTGCGGGTTGCTGGGGCAGGGGCAGATCCACGTCTCCCCTTCCCAGGGGAGAGCCAGCAGCTCTCTCTGCGGGAGAAGGGAACTGATCTGCTAAAGTATCACCAGGAAGAGGCAGGAGGAGGCCCCCACACACCCCACCAGGCTCCCTCTGGCCCCATGTCCTTGACCTGGCAGAGTGGCCGTCGTCTCTGCCAGAGAACTTGGAGTGGCCGTGCTCTAACAGACATCAGATCTCCAAGTTTCTGGTTGCTTTTCTTTCCCAGAATCCAGCCCAAGGAGGCCCCCAACCAGATACCCAACTCCAAGGCACCTCCCACCTGCCCAGGGCACAAATTGTCAACGGTCCCAGCTACAATGCAGGCCGCTGGGCTCCCAGAGCCCCTTGACAGCAAGGGCTCCTTCTCTCTCCCCATGGTGGGTGCCAACATCTCTCAGGACAATGGCACCAGCCACAATGCCACCTTCTCTGAGCCGCTGCCGTTCCTCTATGTGCTCCTGCCCGCCGTGTACTCTGGGATTTGTGCCGTGGGACTGACTGGCAACACGGCCGTCATCCTTGTAATCCTGAGGGCGCCCAAGATGAAGACGGTGACCAACGTGTTCATCCTGAACCTGGCCATCGCTGATGGGCTCTTCACACTGGTACTGCCTGTCAACATCGCAGAGCACCTGCTGCAGCACTGGCCCTTCGGGGAGTTGCTCTGCAAGCTGGTGCTGGCCATCGACCACTACAACATCTTCTCCAGCATCTACTTCCTAGCCGTGATGAGCGTGGACCGATACCTGGTGGTGCTGGCCACTGTGCGGTCCCACCACATGCCCTGGCGCACCTACCGGGGGGCAAAGGTCGCCAGCCTGTGTGTCTGGCTGGGTGTCACGGTTCTGGTTCTGCCCTTCTTCTCTTTTGCTGGCGTCTACAGCAATGAGCTGCAGGTCCCAAGCTGTGGGCTGAGCTTCCCGCGGCCCGAGCGGGTCTGGTTCAAGGCCAGCCGTGTCTACACGTTGGTCCTGGGCTTCGTGGTACCTGTGTGCACCATCTGTGTGCTCTACGCAGACCTGCTGCGCAGGCTGCGGGCCGTGCGGCTCTGCTCTGGCGCCAAGGCTCTAGGCAAGGCCAGGCGGAAGGTGACCATCCTGGTCCTCGTCGTGCTGGTCGTGTGCCTCCTCTGCTGGACGCCCTTCCACCTGGCCTCTGTCGTGGCCCTGACCACAGACCTGCCCCAGACCCCACTGGTCATCAGCATGTCCTACGTCATCACCAGCCTCAGCTACGCCAACTCGTGCCTGAACCCCTTCCTCTACGCCTTTCTAGACGACAACTTCCGGAAGAATTTCCGTACCATGTTCAGGTGCTGAGGGGCCTGAGCACCCACCATCACCCCCACCACCACCCAGTTCGGGTTGTCTCTTTCAGGGGGTGCCCATCCTGTTCACATCCCAGTGCTGTCTTCTCCACACAGTGAGACACAGACCCTCAAACACTGGCCACCAGACCTACAGAGACAGCTGTGGGCATATACCTTCCACGTCTCTGCTTCCCGGACAGCCCCTGGGTGGACAGCAGCAGGGAGCCAGGTCCTGGCAGAAGGCCCCAACACAGCAAGCATCCTGAGTCCACTTACCCACGAGAGACAGACAGATGGACAAGCCCCTCGGAAGGCTCTGGGCCTCAGGATCCCTAATGACAGTGGTCGGGAGGGAAGGGACCTGAACTATGGTCTTGACCTGGGCCGGCGCCACATTGCACAGTCTCTCCCCAAGACAGGGTTGGGAAGTGGCAAGTGCGGGCGCCTCAGACAGCAGCAATGCTGTGTGGCTGCAAAGGCCAAGGACACCTGCACCGAATGAGACCATGGAGTCCACTCTCATGGCCTGAAACCCCAGTGACATTCCAGCAGGAGGCCCATCCCCGCCGTGCCCGCATGCCATGGCCTGTGCTCCTCTGTACCCCCCATGCTGTGGCCGATGGTCCTCTCATATTTTGCTAGAGGGTACAGGGCCCTTTTGCCAGGACCTCTGGGCCACCGCAGCCTAGGGACCATCCGTCACTTGGACAGGCTGGCACCTGGAACTCTTTCTCCCTTGGTGTGGCCAGGGGCTTGTAATCAGCCAGCAGGAGCTGCTGAAACTCTGGTGGGGACCGGGGGGGGTGGTAATGAAGTGCAGGCAGCTGTCAGGTGGGAGGGGCCGGGGCTGTTCCCAGGTGTGCTGTGGCCAGGCCCCGACTCTTGGCCCCATGGCTCTCAGCTGGTTCCATGCCTGGCAGTCCAGCCTGGCAGTCCAGCCTGGCAGTGAGGTGTGAGTGCTCGGGGTTGGCTTCAGTCCTCATGACCCAGAGCTCTGATCAATCTGTCCAGCGGGCACACAGGACCCACCATTCACCAGCCCACAAGGCATCTCACGGTGTACGCCCACCTCCACCCATCCACCAAGTACTCCAGCTCTCCAGGCCACGAGGGCCCTGCCTGTTGAGCCCCCTCAGCTCAGGCCTGCATCAGTGCCCCTCCTCCGTGCTAGCCAGCCAAACACACCAGGGCTGTTTCCATCCACTTATCCTCCCTGACAACATTGTATTAGTTCTGTGTTGCTGCATAACAAATTTCTCCAAAACTCAGCAGCTTAAAACAACTTCTTCTATTTCACAGCTTCTGTGGTTCAAGAATTAAAGTGGCTTTTTGGGTGGTTCTGGCTCAGGGTCTCTCCTGAGGTTGCAGTCAGGACGTTGGCCAAGGCCCTGGGCCTCGGAAGCCTGGGCAGGGGCTGGGGTATCTCCTTCTGAGAAGTCTCCCTCCCGTGGCTATGGGCAGGAGGCCTCTGCTCCTCACCACATGGATGCTTCAGGGGCTGAGTGTCCTCAAAACATGGCACTGGGTCCCCCAGAGCCAGCGACCCAGGGGGGAGCCAGCGACCCAGGAGGGAGCCAAGAGGACGCCTCAACACATTTGAGGCCAAGTGTCGGGAGCCACTTGCCATCCCTTCTACTACATTCTGTGTATTGGAAGCAAGTCACAGGTCCAGCTCACACTCGGGGGCTGTAGACTGTTTATTTTTCTTTCGCTTCAATATTTTTTTTTAAATCGAGAAGGGGTCTCACTCTGTTGACCAGGCTGGAGTGCCGTGGTGCGGTCACGGCTCACAGCAGATTCGACTTCCTGAGCTCAGGCAATCCTCCCACATCAGCCTCTGGAGTAGCTGGGACCACATGTGTGCCCCACCATGCCAGGCAATTTTTTTTTTTTTAAAGACGAGGTCTCACTATGTTGCCCAGGCTGGTCTCAAACTCCTGGGTTCAAGTGATCCTCCTGCCTCAGCCTCCCAAAGTGCTGGGATTGCAGGCATGAGCCCAGCCTGTGGACAATTTTTAAGCCACCACCAACACCC